GCCCCCCTGGCCATGGCGGCGAAGGTGGACCTGAGTACTTCCACCGACTGGAAGGAGGCCAAATGTAAGTGCGAGCCGCCGGCAGACACTTGGGGAAGTTGAGGCCCGCTCTGCCCTGGGATAGACACCCCCCCTCACTTCAGCCACGCTTCCCCTTCCCCAGATTCCCCCCCCCCCGCCCACCAGGTCTCATCTCCAGTCTGGGGCAGTGTGTAGCGCCTCACCCCTGCAATGAGACCCAGGCACCCCCCACCCCCCCAGGGAGCACCCAGGATCTCTATCACCTTTACTCCTTCGTGCAGGGAGGGAAACTGAGGCCCGGAGCCAGAGCCTCTTCACCAAGGTCACTCGGTGGGGTTAGCAGAAGGAAGTTCTGTAGGACTCCTTGACCAACCTCGGGCTGGGCCTGGAGTAGCTCCGTCGGGGTGTCTGAGTGGCAGGTCTGTGGCCGGTGGCCCGCCTGGGTGAGGGGCAAGGTGGTTTCATGGGGCGGCCTCCCATGGCAGGCCTGCCCCGTACCCTCCCTCCCTGCCCATCTTTGCCCCATTCCTACTGGACTGAAGTAAGAAGGCCAGGGGAAGGGAGAGCAGGTGGGAGGTGTGTGTGTGTGTGTGTGTGTGTGCGTGCGTGTGTGTGTGCGTGCGTGTGCACACGCGTGCGTGCACGTGCCTGCCAGGACCTCTGTACCCCCAAGAAGCAAATTGCTTCACCTTTTGGGTGAGCGCGGGTGGTGGATCTGGCCTCCACTCCTGCACTGGCCAAGTCTCTGCCCTGGGGAGGGAAGAGCAGGGACCTGCCGAGCCCCAAATAGCCCTGCCTGGTGCCCAGCTGCCCCTGCCCTTCAGGCCTGCCTGCTGGAGCAGCTTCTGCCCTCTAGATCCCGTTTCCAGAGCACTAGGAGGGAAGCTCATTGGCTGGGCTGCTGGGGGGTGGGACCCTGAGCTGGGCAGGTGGCCTGACTGGCAGGGGTTGGGGATCAAGCAAGGTGGCCCGTTTGGGACTGGTGACAGTCGCTTTTGGCTCCGGGCCCTGGAGTCCTGAAGCACCAGATGCTATTCTGAACAGTCAGAACCTGTCACACTTTCAGTCCTGGCCCTGGAAAATGGCTCAGGACAGAAAGTGGGAGCTGCTGCTGGTGGTGGGGGACCCCTGGCAAGCAGGTGTCACTGTCTCTCCAGAGAATTTCTTCTTATTGGAGACCAGCTCCCTGGGTTGGTGCAAGGGCCAGAGAGGTGGGGCTGGCACCTGTTTCCGGTTCTGCAAAAGTTTCTATGACTCAGTTCCCCTTCTCCCAGCTCCCCCCATCTGCTGGTGACCCTGAAAATAACAGGACCCCAGGAAGCCAAAGGGGGGGGAGCTACAGGATCCTAGTCTGCTGTGCTCTTGCTGTAGTTTTTCTCCTCTCTGCTGGAAGCTGAGATTCTTAACATTCCTTGAGCAAATTTGTGTCAAGTGCCTCTGGTGTGGCCTGTGTGTGCCAGATTCAGCTCCTCTGGACGCCCAGGGCCGTCCCCAAGAAGCTTGTACTCTGGTAGGTGACAGGAATGTCTGGAGATGAGGGGCAGTAGGTGCTGTAAAGAAGCTGTTGATGATCTGGACGCTGGTGGCTCCCACCTGTTGAGCTTTAGTGCTCAAAGCTAGTGTTCTACCACTTGACTTGAGCCACAGCTCCACTTCAGGTTTTCTGGTGGTTCATAAGGGTTTTATGGACTTTCCTGCCCATGAGGTCCTCAGATCTCAGCCTCCTGAGTAGCTAGGATTATAGGCATGAATCACTGGCCCGGGCTATTCTCCTTTTTTTTGTTGTTGTTGTTGGTTGTGGGCTTGAACTCTGGGTCTGGGCGCTGTCCCTCAGCTCGTCAGCTCAAGGCCAGGGCTCTACCACTTGAGCCACAGCTCCACTTCTGGTTTTTCTAAGTGCTTTATTGGAGATAAGAGTCTCATGGACTTTCCTGCCCAGGCTGGCTTTGCACCTCGATCCTCAGCTCTCAGCCTCCTGAGTAGCTAGGATTACAGGCGTGAGCCACCCGGCAACTGCCAACTATTCTCCTTTTGAAAGGCATTTTTGAGTTACAGGGGAATAAAGCTGCTCTGGCCCCACCCCACTCTAGGGCAAAGCTGAGTGCTAAGAGGAGAAAGGGTATTAACGTCTTCACACCTAGGTCCTACTCTGCCCTCCTGGAGCCTGATTCCAGTCTTGGAGATGGGACCAACAGCACCTGCTATGGGACAGCCCTCCCGGGCCCACTTCTGCGTGGGGCCCGGCGCCCCTGGCTTCTTGCAGGCCTCATCCCCAGGACTGCCATCACTGCTTACGCTGAGCTTCCCCAGTGGTTGAGGAGTTTGTGGGCTCCAGCTGCAGACACACTGGGCAGGGGTGACTGCCGAGTAGGTACATTTTCCAGGCACACCTGGGCAAGTAGCTTTGGCATTGTCTTGGTGTGGACCGTGGGGGAGGGGTGGTTCAAGCGTCACTGAGTCCCGGGCACCCCCATCTTGCTGGCCCTGCCACCCTGCATCCTGTGGAAGCGTGGCTCCCTGGCACCCAGCCTACCCTTGCCTCTCTCCACCCCATCTTGCATAGTGCCATAAAGATGCTTCTTAAAACACATCATTGAATTCCCGTTTGCCCGTTGCACTTTATGACTCTGGCGGAGCCTGCTTCTTCCCGCCCAGCTTTCGTGCCCAGAGCTCCTGGAAGCTTCAGCCCGGGTCAGGCCTCCCATCAAAATTTACTGCGAGCATCTTTTTACAACACCTGTCTCAGTGAGCTGTGAAATACACTTGCCTCTCCAAAACTGAAAGAAAATGAAAATGCAGGTTTTACATCTTTTAGAAAAAAAAATAAAGTGCACTTGTGCTTTAAGTCCACATCTGTCCTGACACGTGAGAGGGCGGTGGGGCGCCGGGCTCCAGCTTCTCCTTGCGGAGATGGAGATAGGTATGGGGGTTTGGTCCCTGACATGGGAAGTTGGGGTGATGAATGTGGTGCATGGTCCTCCAGGTGGAGAAAAATCAGAATTGGCACTGAGGTACCAGTGGCTCACGCCTGTAACCCTAGCTACTGAGGAGGCTGAAATCTGAGTATCGTGGGTAGAAGCCAGCTCAGGCATGAATGTCTGTGGGACCCTTATTTCCAATTAACCAACAACAAAGCTGGAAGTGGAACTGTGGCTCAAGTGGTAGAGTACTATCAGCGAGCAAAAAAAGCTCAAAGACAGCACCCGGTCCCTAAGTTTAAGTCCCAGGACTAGAGCAACAAAAAGCCACAGGCACCAGTAGCTCACGCCTGTAATCCTAGCTACTCAGGAGACTGAGATCTGAGACTCATAGTTCAGAGCCAGCCCAGGCAAGGAAGTCTTTGAGACTCTTATCTGCAATGAGCTACCAGAAAACCAGAAGTGGAGCTGTGGTTCAAAGTGGTAGAGTGCTATCTTTGAGCACAAAGGAGCTCAGGGACAGTTCCCAGGCTCTGAGTTCAAGCCCCATGACCACCAAAAAAAAAAAAAAAAGAATCACACTTGGCTTTTTCTTCTCCCATAGATCAGACCAGGCCAGAACCTCATTGAGACACAGCTCCCAGCATGCCTGGCTTTTTGAGTCTAAGGCATGCACTGGGGCCTGGCCCAGGCAGGGACGGGTTGACTGATGTCCCCAAGGTCAGCACCAACTGACTGGCACCAGTGCCAGTGTGCAGTCTCTGGATGGCAGGGCCGACATTGGGCACTGAGGCCAGGCCATGGAAAACAGCCCCACCCCACGTTCCTTTCATTGCTGTTTCCAGGGACACGTCCCACTGCCTCGCTCTAACCCAACATGGAAACAGCTGACACAGGATGTCTGCTAGCAGACCTGGGGTGTCCCTGGGCATCGTGAGATGCCCAGGGCCTGTGCCAGCTGGTACCTCAGTGGGTTGTCTGCTGGCTGAGCAGACCATCGGGATTGTAGCAGTTCACTAGACAGGGACTCGAACTCGCTATCTGACTCTTCACACTCATTGGCAGGTGCCCTACCCCTGAGCCACTCCTCCACAGCGCCACTTCTGGTTTTCTGGTAGTTCATTGGAGATAAGAGTCTCATGGATGTTCCTGCCCAGGTTGGCTTTGAACCATGATCCTCAGATCTCAGCCTCCTGAGTAGCTAGGGTTACAGGTGTGAGCTAGCGGCGCCTGGGTCTCAATATTTGTTTTTGAAGTCAAGGTCTGTAAGTTAGGTAGGCATTGAACTCAATCCTCATGTGTCTGCCTCCCAAGCACTGGGATTGTGGGCATCCTCACCATGGTTGGTGCCACATCGTGTCTTGCTGTGCCTTGTTCTCTGGTTCTCTTGTTCCTGGGCGGAGCCGGCGAATGGGTGTTGTCATATGAAACATGGTGTGCATAGTGCTTTGCTGCCACCTTCTTTCTGTTGGCCCCATGGAGAATGTCACGGGGCAGCGCCTGCCAGCTCTGTGCAGAGGTGAGGAGATGCAGCTGGAGGCTGAGCATCTCGCTAGTGTGGAGGGGAGCTCCGAGGTGGACTGGGCTGCTCTCCCTTACTCTGCAGCAGGTGTTAGTCTCCCTCCTTTTTGTTCCCCCCCACCTCTGCACCCACCCCTCTCTACCTGGGAGACTCATCTCTTTGGCCAACTTACCTTCGGCCTCAGGTCTCAGTTCACCCATTTATTGATTCATCCTGCAATCATGCTGTGCATGGATTTGTCTGTCTGGGCTGGTTTTGATCCAAGATCCTCAGATCTCAGTCTCCTGAGTAGCCAGTATTACAGGTGTGAACCATTGGCACCTGGCTTTACCTGACTGAGAACTGAATGGTGTATGGCCAGGGATGGGGGGAGGTGTGTTTAGGAGGAGGTTGGGAACAGAAATAGGGGCGGTCATGTGGGCCAGACCTGAAGCTTAGGGAACTGGGTCTTACAGAAGAAGGATAGGATCTGGTTTGTAGTCCTAGACTCACGCCTGTAATCCTAGCTACTTGGGAGGCTGCGATCTGAGGATTGTGATACAAAGCCAGCCAGGGCAGGAAAGTCCCTAAAGCTCTTATTCACATTTAGCCAGCAAAAAGTCATAAGTGAGGGTGTGGCTGCCTTGATTGGGAAAAGCTAAGTGAGTGCAAGGTCCTGAGTTAAAGCCCTAATACTGGTAACACACACAAAAAATATAGTCCTAGGCTCCCTGGGCATCTGTGAGGAAAAGGGCAAAGGGGAGATGCATGCTATGCTGGGGACAGATGGGGGACCAGGAAGTGACAAGGGGGCTCGCCCCAGGGGGTGAGAGGAAGGCTTGGTTTCTGGAGCATTGTGGGAAGAATGGGTAAAGCTGCACCTGGATGGGCGAATTCTTCTGATCACCTGTGGTGAGGTGATCTTTTCTTTTTATCTGTTTTTTTTTTTTTGTCAGTCGTGGGGCTTGAACTCTGGGCCTGGGCGCTGTCCCTCAGCTCTCCAGCTCAAGGTGAGCGCTCTACCACTTGAGCTACAGTGCCACTTCCGGTTTTCTGGTGGTTGATTGGAGATAGGAGTCTCACGGTCTCTCCTGCCCGGGCTGGCTTTGAACCGCGATCCTCAGATCTCAGCCTCCTGAGTAGCTAGGATTACAGGCGCGAGCCACCAGCACCCGGCTAGATCTTTTCTTTTGTGTGTGTGTGGGGCGGATTTTGCTGGTTAATTGGAGACTTCTCACAGAATTACCTGCCTGGGCCGACTTGGAACTGTGATCCTCAGATCCCAGTCTTCTGAGTAACTAGGATTACAGGCGTGAGCCACAGATGCTGGCTCATTGTGGTGCTCTTGACTTTGACCTTGGTCTTGGTGGATCTAGGGGTGGGCGGCTGGGAGGTGGGAGGAGGAGCCGGAGGAGGCATGGGAAGGAAGGCGGGAGGTAGCTGCCGCTGGAATGTGGGGCTGTTGGAGGGCAGTCAGGGCAGCGAGGTGGGCGTGGAGCAGAGGCAGGGGAGCTGAGGGAGCACTAGAGGGTGAGCCAGTCTCTGGGAGGAAGGGTCCTCCTGCCCAATGACCTGAGGGAGGGCAGACAAGGTGCGGGTGGCAGGCAGGCTTGGGGGGTGGGAGGGGGGGGAAGTGGCCTCAGGTGACTGGTTTCTGAGTGTACGTCGGCAGGGGGTCCATTTCCTTGGCCCTGGAACTTAGAGGAAGGCTCTAACCCCAGGATCCCCCCCACACAACCTGCCTGCACTCCTGACACAGAGCAGAATGGTTGGATCACTTCTCTACCCTTCTCCATCAGGCCCCAGAACCTCAACTGTACCTTTGACCCCTAAACCTGGTGTCCAGTGGTGTCTCATAAATAGTTATTAACCATTCCACAGGCAAACTGCCAGCCGGGGCAGAGCCCCCGTGTGGCCTCCCCTGCACCATGCGGCTCCAGCCTCTGACAGGCCCTGCCAGCCAAGCCCATCTGCTGAGAAGCAGGGGCAAGAGATGGCTCCCTCCACACCCCAGCCCTGCACCCCATCCCAGATCTGCACCCTGCCCCAGGAAAGGTGCCTTTAGGTGGGACCTGGGCCGTTCCTCAGCTGCTGGGGTCCTGAACCTCTGGGGAGGAGGGGCTCTGGATTTAGAGGTGCCACAGGAAGCCCTTTCCTCATTGAAAGAATAAAAGGGTGGGGCATATGTACACCACACACGCACACACACATGAACACACACACACACACACACAGAGGATCTGATCTTTGGGGAGCAATCTTAAGCTGTATCTAGTGAAATAATTTTGTTTTCTGGTTACCCATATTCGGACTTGAACTCAGGGTCTTGTGCTCTTTTTTTTTTTTTTTTTTTT